ACAAGTGCTACTCTACACTGCTCAAAACTCGCGTTTGAATCATCAGTGGCAACGAAAAACACAGCGGCCTAGCGTGAGGGGAAGCTAGCGGGAGTGAGCTGAGGCGGCGGGGTCGAGAACGGCGGTCCCGGCGAAGGAGCGGTGAAAACGGTGAAAGCCGATCCGGGGATCCACAGCACTAAGTTGATGTATTTCCTCAGCGACCAGCACAGATCAGCTCCAGGTATGACGAAGCGGATATCGTCCTCTTTTGGAAGGTCAAACAAAGTAGTTTCGCTTTCACAACGAAGCACACAGCGTCTTCAGGACATGGCGGCAGCGGCAACAATACTACAGTGAGAATAAAAGTTATGCCTTCTTTCTTTGCGTGAACATTTGGGCGGCGTTATGCAAATCTTCCCAGATAGTGATGTATGTATGTGGGGGCGTGTTAGAACGAGCCGTTTTAGGTAGGCGTGGTTGACTCTTAACTTTTATAAAGAATATCTCTTTGGATTTGAGACTTTAGTCTTTGCAACTTTACAGATCTTCTTTATGCACCAAGAGCTTGTAACACTCCAAAGAGAAAGGAAAAATTGAAATTGCATCATATGACCCCTTTAACATGTTCACCCTGTCGCATAAAATATGCCAGAAGTGATTTGAATACAGTATTTTCAAAATATGTACGTTTAAATATACCAAATTCTCTTCAACAACCAGACTAAATATTTAGTCACAGTTTGTTGTAAGCTAATATGCTAATTGAAGCTCAAAATGTCCACCCTGTCGGCCGATTAGACTCGATAGAGTGGACATAAACACGACAGGGTGGACATAGCATTCATTTGTAGTTAATATTGCTAAAAACTCAAATGAATGGGTTGGGGTGGGGGGTACATCAATGTGATTGAGGATGTAATTATATTATTTATTATTATTATGTATATTTTTTAATAACCCTGTTTAGGAAAGGGACATCATACCTTTCAGAAAATATAATTTGCATCTTCATTTTGCAATGAAAACTTATTTAACAATAATATATCCACGACAGGGTGGACATATCTTATTTTTTATGCTTCGAATAATGGCCCATAATTATCTAAAAAAATGTGTGGGAGCTAATATGTTTCTGTGTCTACTATGATATGACATAAAGCGAATGGGAAATTAAAACCAAAATTTTTGAGTATTGTGAGGGTTGAAAGGCATTCTATGGTGATATTGACCCATTTATTATGAATAGATGCGCTTTATTGGACTTCTTTTGGACTGTTGAACGAAAACACCCACCCGCTGGCCATTATAAAGCTTGAAAGAGCCAGGACATTAATCTCCGATTGGATTCGTCTGAAAAAAAAAGTCATATACACCTAGGATACCTTGAGGATTAGTAAATCAGGGGCTAACTTTCGTTTTTGGGTGAACTAACCCTTCAGAAACCACACAAAATGTTCAAGACGGTAATACATATGACGCCTGTTGAAGAATCAGTGTCTTCTAAAGCGAAACGATAGGCGAGTGTGAGAACAATACTAATATTTCTATGTTTTTAAATTATAAACCATCGCTTCCGGTCAACTGTCATATACGTGAGTTCGCTTGACGAACAAGGGTCCGTTCACTTTTTGTGCAAGTTTCACAAGGCACATACATCATGTTTCACAAGCTGCTGACATTACGTGCAAACTGTTCGTGTTCAACTGAAGAAAGCCATACAGTAGCCTACATCTGGGAAGTCATGAGGGTGAGAAAATGATGAGAGAATTTATTATGATTTTTGTGTTCATCTTTAGAGTCATATACATCTGGGACATCACGAGTAGAAAATGATGGGAGAATTATGTGTTTTTTTTTTGTTTGTTTTTTTGCGTGGCGTAGACCCTATGTCTATAACATAGGCTAAGCAAAAAATAGAGACCAAAAGATAGGTAATAAAAAACTGTAATGTGTTGATCAAATCACTAAGACCGTTGTCACGACATTTTGATAGTCTCGTACACAGATTCCTCTCTCTTCATTGCAGTCATGTAGACATGGTCGTCATCTTTTGGTTTCATATATTTTTCTCTCCTGTCAAAATGGTAATGGTAAAATGTGTGGAAATGCTAACTAACAAACATTAAACTGTATAAACGGCCAGCCAACAACTGTTTCTCGAGTTTACGCAATTCTTACCGTACAACGACGACAATCAAACAGGAAGCAAAGATGACATTTAGAACAAATGAAAGGGTAAATAATATCCAAGGGGTTGACAAACTGCAACTTATTTCTAAAAAAAAATGACAAAAAGAAAATAGAAAACAATGAAGATTTTCGTAATGGAAATGTTTTGGATGATTTGTATAAAATAGACATGATGATTGCCTCCTGCTTACCTTGGGGTTTTTCACCATGATTGTGCACTTGGATTTCCATCTTTGTCGTACCAATGAGATTCTCACTGACACATTCAACGGTAGCGTTGACTTTACTAAAACCAGGAATGGAGATGTTGCAAATGCTGATGATGTTCTCTGTTGAAACAGCACTGAAGTATTTCGTGGTACCGTTCAATATTGGCCAGGATATCTGCGGTAACGGCACACCACTGCTGACACACATGCAGCTCAGTTCATCACCCCACACGAAACAACGGGAGCTGTTCAGGATTATTGGGGAATCTAAATACAAATTATGATGCGTTTATTTAAAATATGGTGTTTATCGCCTTCCTTCAAATTAGAATTTATGATGTGGTATAAGTGAAATGATACATACGTCTTGCTTTGAGGATGACAGTACTTTCAGTCCGAATACGTCCTTGAAGTGTCACTGTGCAGGTGAGCTCAGTATTGTGATGTTCAGGCTTAGGATAAAAAGTCATTATAGAAAAGTGCTGATCCCGGCCAGGCACTCCACGAGCTCCAAGTCTAGTTTTATTAGGCCTAATCCCTGTCCACACAATATCTGCTAAGGGTTCTCTGCAGTCCCCTGGAACTTTGCAGGATATCTCGGCCTTCTCTCCCGCTGTGAGCAGTGGGACCTTTATTGGTGGTTTCTGGGTAAGCTCTAAAAACAATTATTTATTGGAATGAAAAATTCTATAAATTAATTTGGATTTGTATGTTTCTCTGTCAAAAAGCATATAAACAAATACACACCTTTAACAATAATATTTACTGTCTGAGGAAAGATATACACGTTTCCTTCTCCCCACTCCAGTTTTAATCTGTATTCACCATCAGATTTGCCCCGAACCAATTGGTTTAGCAAAAAGCTGCACTCTTTCTCATTGTGAGGAAATCCAATATTTCTGGAAAAATGAGGAACTTCAACAGATGGGTTTTGTGGAGCTCCTTTGAACCAGGTTCTCCTAATGGGATCTGAGACACTTTTAGGGACAGTGCAAACACAGAACACTCTGATGCACAAACCGTCCTCTCCAGTGATGCTGTTTTCTACTTTGATGGAAAAGTTAGTTGGTGCATCAGGGCCTGAAAACCAAAATCAAATCAAAAGATCAGACTGTTGACATAAATGCAAGCTTAATTATTTGTCTTCTACATTGTTTAATGTGTTCTAACCAGGAATGTATGACTCTATCAACAAAAATTTGCAATAATGTGTATACAGGTGCATCTCAATAAATTAGAATGTCGTGGAAAGTTCATTTATTTCAGTAATTCAACTCAAATGGTGAAACTCGTGTATTAAATAAATTCGATGCACACAGACTGAAGTAGTTTAAGTCTTTGGTTCTTTTAATTGTGATGATTTTGGCTCACATGAAATAATTGAAACTATCAACATGATATCATGATAATCAGATGACGTTAAGATATTTTTCTAAAACATTGATAATAATACATAGTCCAAAAGATTTCCAAAAGCATAAAGTAAAAATGACACACACACACACACAAAGTCTTTTATTTTGGAGTTTTAGGACATTAGCTTGTGCTAACATGCATGCTAACTGTTCCACTACATGTTACAGTGTAAAAAAAAAACACTTGACTTGACATATAAACTGAATAAAAAGCTTTATTTCAGCTGTAATGTGTTGATCAAATCACTAAATCACTAAAATCTCTCTGAAGACATTTTGATAGTCTCGTACACTGATTCCTCTCTCTTCGTTGCAGTCATGTAGACATGGTCGTCATCTTTTGGTTTCTTGTCTCTTTCTCTCCTCCAGTCAAAATGGTCATTTTAAAACGTGTGGAATTAGTGACAAATACAAACATTATAGAAACTGCCAGTCAATGTATATTTCTTGAATTGATAAAGTTCTTACCGTAAGACAACAATCAAAGAGGAAGCAAAGATGACGTTTAGAACAACGGAAAGGGTGAAGAATATCCAAGGGGTGGAAAAACTCCAGCTTACTAAGAGATGGCAAAAATAAAAGGAGAATAAAGGGAATTTTCGTATATAAGAAGCCACCAAGAAGCCAGACAGATGTCTGACATATGGGCACTATGGCAGAAATGTAAAATTCTTGTAAAACACATGATTGCATCCTGTCTACCTTTGGGTTTTTCAGCCTGACTGAGCGCTTGGATTTCCATTATTGCCAGCCCAATGAGATTTTCACTGACACAAATGGTTGCGTTGAGGTTTCCAAGATCAGCAATGGAAACGGTTATGATGCTCACAATGTTCTCTGCTGAAACAGCGCTGTAATATTCAGTAGCACCATCCACCAGCCAGTGTATATGGGGTAACGGCGCACCACTGCTGACACACACGCAGCTCACCCCACACGAAACAACGGGAGCTGTTCAGGATTATTGGGGCATCTGAAATGAAATTATGATGAATTATGGAATTATGGCATTGCTAATAATTGCTATTAGGGTTGATAATTGTGACCCTGGACCACAAAACCAGTCTTAAGTAGCACGGATATATTAGCAATAGCCACCTAATCATTCAGCTTTCGTATGATGTATAAATCTCAATTTCGAAAAAATTGACCCTTATGACTGGTTTTGTGGTCCAGGGTCACAATTGTTATTATTGCTATTAGTTTTGTCCATAACAATCTTGTGATGTGTTATACTGTAAATGAAATGATACATACATCTTACTTTAAGGATGACAGTACTTTCAATCTGGATGTTTTCTTGAAAAATGACTCTGCAGGTGAGGTTAGTATTGTGATGTTCAAGCTTAGGATGGAAAGTCAATGTTGAAAACTCGTTATCCCGGCCAATCACACGAAAGATTGTCCTTTTAACTTCATCAGGCTCAATCCCTGTCCACACAATACTTGTTGTGTGATTCATGCAAATCCCCTGGAACTCTGCATGATATCTCGGATTTCTCTCCTTCTGTGAGCAGTGGGACCTTTATTGTTGGCTTCTGGGTGAGTTCTTAAATAAAACACAATGATTTATTGAAATCAGAATTTTTAGAATTAAACATTCTAATATTCTATCATTTTAAATAGTTTTATGCACACCTATTATCTTACTTATACACTGGTCACATGGACAAGGTAAAGCTGCTGTTGATGTCTGCAGCACAAAATTTGACTTAACAAACATACAGGTGCATCTCAATAAATTAAATGTCGTGGAAAAGTTCATTTATTTCAGTAATTCAACTCAAATTGTGAAACTCGTGTATTAAATAAATTCAATGCACACAGACTGAAGTAGTTTAAGTCTTTGGTTCTTTTAATTGTGATGATTTTGGCTCACATTTAACAAAAACCCACCAGAGTTGAATTACTGAAATAAATGAACTTTTCCACGACATTCTAATTTATTGAGATGCACCTGTAATGCTTAATTTCCATTAGTTGTTTTATCTACAGGTGAGTAGATCTAAAATTTGGAAGTAAAATAAAGTAGCGCAGTATGATTATATAAATTTGATCAGAACTGTGTATTCAAACAGCCCATGGTATAAATTTGTGTGATTTCTATTAAAAAGGTTTATGTACAAACTAGGGCTGTCATCGTTAACGCATGCGATTAATTTTACAATCCTTAACGCGTTAAAATAATTTAACGCAATTAACGCAAAATTACTAAAGCACAATTTCTATTCTAACCCTTTAACCAAATTTTGCTTTTCTGCTTGCGATTAGATCATTTTAAGCCGCTAAACTCCAGGAATGTGTTCAGTCTAATGATCCAGCTAGCGAATGCATTCAAACAATCCGTCCAGCGCTAATATAAAGGAAACCAGGCTGATTATATCAACGATTGCAGAGAGAACAGAGACTCGCGTTGCGTTTTCAGTGAATTATTCATTCCAGTGTGTTTCGCTTTAAAACACGCTCTGCCATATTCTGTAATTGTCTCTGAAGAGCGCGAGCCCTCACATGGCACGTCGCGCTGTGTGAAGAACAGACTGAACGGAATGTCAACACATCTCACCGCTGTATGGCCAGATGAGACGCAAACTACTGCATAACCAGTCAGTGTCTCGCTAGTAAAGTTTTGATGGATAACGACTGCAATCAAGGTAAAGACGATTGCGGTGGCGTACAGGAGTCGTACAGTACAGTAAGCACGCGTGAGTCCGTTATAATAATGCGTGTATGAGTGCTCTTGACGCACTGATCGCACATTGTATTTATGCACAGGCACAGACATTTCCGTAGTTTCCACACGTTTCCACACACATTCACGATAATGTTTTGATTTGTCATTTTTATGTTGCTGTGTTTAGTTATACGGAATGGATCCGTGTACTTTAGTAGATATATGCAGTCAGCAGGCGATTGGTTTAGGTTTTTTTTGGCATCTCCATGTGGTCCTGTACAGTACCACAACTTGACTTCTCTAAAATGTAAAAAAGCTTGTTGCTGGATGTGATTAATTAGATTTAAAATTTTAATCAATTGACAGCCCTAATACAAACACACAACCAACCTTTTACAGTAATATTTACTGTCTGAGGAAAGATATACACGTTTCTTTCTCCCCACTCCAGTTTTAATCTGTATTCACCATCAGATTTGCCCTGTACCAAGTTTTTTAGCACAAAGCTGCACTCTTTCTCATTGTGAGGAAATACAATATTTCTGGAAGAATGAGGAACTTCAACAGATGGGTTTTGTGGATCTCCTTTGAACCAGGTTCTCCTAATGGGATCTGAGACACTTTGAGGGACAGTGCAAACACAGAACACTGATGCACAAACCGTCCTCTCCAGTGATGCTGTTTTCTACTTTGATGGAATAGATATCAGTCAGATCATCAGGGTGTGAAATGAATCACAATATTGTAGTTATATTCAATTTTATTCACTAAACTGTAACCTCTTCTTGGTCTGAACCTTGAACTTGGCAATATTTTTCTACAACCGTATTTTCTAAGTTTCATAATACCAATGACTCAAATCAAAGGGAAAATATTCCTTTTACATTATTATTTTGTTTTCACTTATTACACCTAGTAATATTTCTTAACTTGGAAAAACAAAATAAGTAATAAATAACCGTAAATGTCATAGACGATAAGGCACTTGATAAGTTAAAATACAGAAATGAAAACTCACCAAAACAGTCTGTCATTTGAACGGCAGTCAAGATGAACAGCAATGTTTGTAGCATCTCTGACTAATGTAATGAGAAAGAAATCATGCCCATTTATACTGTAGCACAACTGTCAATAATAAAAATACACACATAAAGTGAGGCGCCATTCTTATTTGACATTATTAGTTATAAAAAACCCTCAACAACTACACCTTTATTTTCAAAATTGTTAAAATGGTTGGTTACCTAAAATTTGAAGAGCTCAAAAGACCTGATGTGACAGCAGTTTTTCTTGCAATCCGTTTGTGGTGCTTTTTACTTGATCTGACTGATTTCCTCATGTTTCAGAAATGGCTTATCATTACTATAGAGATATGTGTACTTGATACGCCTCCCATCATTAATAGTAAAACTAGACTAATACAGAAATAAGTATTGTTAGCACCAAAATAATTTTCCAAAAAACGAATATCATTATACCTAATTTTTGTATTATGAAGTATGATGACTACATTTTTGTTTTATTTATTATAAATCATCCATTCATGTTTTAAGACTAGAATCAAGTAACTTGGGAGCATGGTTTTTTAATATATTTTTTAATTTAGCATTTTTAAAGACATTTTATCAAACAGTCTTTCAATGGTGCAACAAACAGACAAACCAAACCAAACCAAATGGAAGAGGAAACATCCCAGTAGAAATCTTAAAGAAACAGTATTGAAACCATCAAAAAAACATAAAATTATTCAAAGGAAACTCTTTTTCCAAAACACAATAAAATATACTAGGCCTTTCCGCCATACATGAGCCCTGTTCAGAAGTTGTGAATAACCACAGGCTGACGTAGCTGATGGCAGATCACCTCGTCTATGTACAGGGAGTTGGTCTTGACCTGGATCTCCTCCTCTAGGCTCAACTGGCGTCTTGCTAGAGCTTTCAGTTCCATCTCTGACAGTTTAAGTGCCTCGGTCAGCCTAGTGCAGAGACATAGAAGGGAAAATGTTTTTTTGGAGATTCACTCACACACACACACACACGCATGTTTTTTTCTGTGAATTGTGGGGACTTTCCATAGACTTCTATTACTTTTATACTGACCAAACGATATTTTCTATCCCTAACCGATCGTGCAGCCCTACTTGTGGGGTCGTTTGGTCCCCACAATGTAGCATAAACAAGCACACACACACACACCCCTTATATATATATATATATATATATATATATATAT